CTAAACACACGTGTATATAAATTATGGGTACATATCGATGCCTCCATTTCAAATGCAACACCACAGTGCTTTTATCTTTTTTCCTAATCTGTATTGGTTCCAAACACTGCTTTCCAACATCAGTATAATTACTTATTTATTCTATTCTACGGCATACTCAAACTAGCTCTATGTTAGTTTTATTTCACTACATCAGTATTAGTATTGGTGTCAATACTATTTCAGTTAATTTTCTGGGCCACTCAGGATGATAATCTGTCAGCCTTTCAGTAATTTCAAACTCAGAACAGCAAATTCCTTCCATCTTCAGTCCATTATTAAGAGTAACTCAGATGCCATGTGGTATAGCCTTGCCCTGGGACATCTAGATCAGACTCCGCGGGCTGTGGGGAAGGAGGCGCTCTCTCCCACCCTGGGCTTCTGCAGGCTCCTGGTGGTTTCCTTCCTCAGGCCTGATGCTGCACACACTAAACCCAGGACAGGAGATTCACAGCCTTCAAGGTCCCCCAAATAACATTCTCCGGCAGAGCTTCATGACCCAGGCAGATTTTGCCAACACCTTGCTGAGAATGGAAGCGGAGGGAACAACAGGAAGGTTGAGAACTTTCACAAACACAGTGCAGTCTCAAAAGATCCCCAGCCACATCGTCACTGTGACATTTCTTGCACGGATCTTTCCACTCTCCCTAGTTTTCTGCCTTCCTTCCCACTGTTTTCTCCCCTTCCTTCTCTCTCTCCCTCCTTTTAGGATCAAAAAGCACAATTTTCCCCCTGTGTCAAGCAGGGCAAACTCCTCCTCCTCTGATGCTTTATTCAAGGCATTCTTAGAACAAAGACAGCCTTCTTCCCAAGAGAAATTACGGTGAATAAAATTCCCTCCGCTTCATTACACATACAAGGGTTGGAATCTTTTTAAAGCTCTGTCAGTTATAAATTGCAAACAAGCAGCTGCAAAACTCTCTCAAGATGAGTCTATCCATGGACTCAGCTATTGCTCCTCAGAACCAGGTCACCAAATGGCTCAAGCTGCCCAGGATCTTTCTATCTCGGGAACCTCTAGCTTCCAGAGCCAGCTCGCCATGCCATCCAAAGTCCTCCCACTCTATAAACAAAAGGGCCATCCAGATTCTCCAGCTGGGCAGCCACTGCCCCAGGCTCTCTTCCAGGGCACCAGCCACTGGCCCTGAGAGAGAAGTTTTTCACAGACAAGAGCCAGGGTCTACTGACTGACTAGCACTGCAGAGAAGCCCCACGACCCACAGGTCAAGGAAGGCAGACTGAGATCAAAGACTTCTCTTGCCACCTCTAATTTGACATTGAGAGATAGCAATGACCTTGGCAAAAAGTTCCTGAGCTGGAGCTGCTGGCGGTTAGGTCACTGCTTTGCTAATTTTTAGGGCCTAGAAGATCTTCTGAGAGTAAAAGCTTTCCAAAGGGCTGCCAGGTGCTCCTGGAAATAATCTCCAACTCAGACACTGAGGAGAAGGGAGGAGCAGTTCTTTCTGAAAAGCCTATCAAATCTCTGATTAGGAGAAGGAACGTGTGAAATAAATTTGAACAGTATTGTGAAATTGCTGTTGCTCTGGTTATTTTCTAGTTTATAAATATTTAAGTTGCTTTGGCATTTCAATTAAGAGTAAGAAAAAAAAAAGCCTGAGTTGTTTTTATTTATTGATAAAAGAAAAAGAACAAATATGTTTCAGTGATGAACAAGAATGTTGGGGTCTTTCAAAATGCAAGAGTTGAAGAAGAAAACTGAATCAAGGAAGAGTAAAATGAAACGGTCTGAGAGTGAGAGAAAGGTGGACTGGGAGAAGGGAGGGTGTGAGCCCCTGGAACAGGGAGCATGCAGCCCTGTAGCTGCTCATTCATCTCCCAAAGTCCCTGCCTGCTCCTGGTAATCTGAGGAGCACTGAAATACCTGCTGGCATCGTCTGGTCCTTGAACGTTCCCCAAAGGCTCATGTGTTGAAGGTTTGGTCACTAGGCTGTGGCACACAGTGGAACCTTTAAGACATGGGCTTAACTGAAGGAAGTTCGGTTACTGCAGCTGGGCCCTTGAAGGAGGTACTGGAACCATGGCCCTGCCCCTGCCTCTCTCTTTTTACTTCCCATCCACCAGGAGGTGAGCATCTTTCCCTGACCCATGCTCCCCACCATGATATGCTGTCTCATCTCAGGGTAAAAGTCAACAGGGCCAAGCAACCATAGACTGAAACCTCTGATACCGTGAGCCAAAATAAACCTTTCCTTCCTGTAAGTTGATTCTCTCAGGGTTTTGTTTTTGGGGGTTTTTTATTTTCTTTGTTTTTTCTTTTTTTTTGTCTTTTTGAGATAGGGTTTCACTATGCAGTTCAGGCTGACCTTGAGTTCACTTTGTAGCCCAGGCTGGCCTCAGACTGGCAGTCATCCTCCTGCCTCAGCCTCCCGAGTGAGTACTGGGATTACAGGTGTGCACCACCATGCCCGGCTCTCTCAGGTATTTTGTTATGGTGAATAAAAGCTGATTAATATACCTCCCACCTCACAGTCCTCCCCCACCACTTTCAATGGTCCTCAAAGCTTGTCACGAGCAGCTCCATCTTCTGAAGTATCAATGCAGATAACATTTACATTGAAATTTAAAACTGTGATTATACCTAGTTTTATAAAGTTCTAGAACCTGGACACAGTACCTAGCCTCGGTAGGTAGTTTCTTGAGTTTGGTGCTCTTCCACATTCTTATGTAATTGCATTTCACAGAATCAAGATAAAGCCTAGAAGCATGCATTTTAAAAGATGGCAGCTCAGAGGGACAAATAAGGCCAGCAAGTAAAAAACCTGAGCCCTTTGTCCTTGCTGAAATAGAGTAGGAAATCACATATTAGGGTAATTCCTACACTCCGTATCAGTGGGCTGCTACCCAAGCACGCTGGAAATAGTTGTAGGCCCAGATGGCCAGCAATCCTTGGGCTTCCTTCCTCATGGCTTTTTTCCTGTCAGAGTTGGCCAACGCCAGGGCTGTAGAAAGCCAATGCTCAGCCAGCAAATTGTGGTGAACTGCTGTCCATTCCAGAAGCTGCCTGGGAAGCTCAGTGACTTTCCTCAGAGTATGGGGCCCAGATAGAGCTCAGGCTTTTCACTAGCTGAGTGATCTTAGGCAAGTCCTTAAACTCAGGTTACCTGAACAGAAATGCTAAATGGCTAACAGTAAGGGTCTGGAGACAAGACAACCCGGCCCATACACTGGATCTACCACTGACCAACACCATGTACCTGAGATTTAACTTCTCTTTCTTCATCTGTAAAATGGATCATCCCTTAGCTTGGTTGTGAGTTAAGCTAATGAACTAATATGTATAAAATTTACCACGAAGGGTAAACGTTTGTTAACTATCAAATTAGATAAGCTCACTCTGATTTGAACATAATACAATGTATACATGCTTCAAATCATCACATGGTACCTCATAAATATGTATAATTTTTATTCATGAATTTGAAAAATGCTTATAATTTGCCTTGCTCACAGTGTGTTTAGTAAATATTTGCTATTTTATATGTACATGCATTCCTATACACACTTGTTTTTTATTTATTTATTTATTTATTTATTTATTTTGTCTTTTTTGAGACAGGGCCTCACTACGCAGTTCAGGCTGGCCTTGAGTTCACTTTGTAGCCCAGGCTGGCCTTGAACTCACAGTGATCTTCCTGCCTCAGCTTCCCGAGTGCTGGCAGGCATGAGCCACCATGTCCCACACTTGTAAATACATATAAAAAAATCCTTAAGGACACACTTCTTAGGGTGACCAAAACACTTTTTTAAAAAAAATTGACAATACCAAGTATTAGTGAGAAAGTAGAGCAACTGGAATTCTCAAACACTGTTGATGAGAATTTAAAACGTACAGCTACTTTGAATGACAGTTTTGGCAATTTCTAATGAAGTTAAATATATATTTACTACACTTACTACATGAGCTAGCAATCCCAGTTCTAGTTATTCACTCAAGAAAAATGAAAGCAAACAGCCACACAAAGAACGTTCATAGCAGTTTTATTCATAAAATCAAAAATAAGAGCTGAGTAATCATCAACAAGTAAATGGACAGATTCTAAGACACCCTTCCAATAGATCACTACTCAGCAATAAAAAGGAATGAACTACTGATACATGCAGTAATATAAGTACATCTCAAAAGCATATGCTAAGGGAAAGAAGCCAGACAAACATAAAGAATTCCATGAATATGACATTCTGGAATCAGCAAAACAATAGAAACAGAAAACAGATGAGTGGCTGGCTGCCAGGGGAGGAGGAGGGAAGGGGGAAATTGATTATAAAGAAGCAGAGGGGAACATGTTAAGGTGATGGAAATGTTTTACATCTTGATCACGGTGATGGATACATGATTGAATACATTTGTCAAAGTTCATAGAACTGTGTACCTAAAAAAGGTAAATTAATTAACAATTGTTATTACCTAGGAGATGAAGGAACTGGGTAGAGAGGATGACTAGAGGATAGCTTTTTGTTCTACTAAAACACATCTGTACTGTTTGGACTTTTTTTTCAGTATTGGGGATCAAGCCAAGGTCTTGTTCATGCTAGACAAGTGCTCTACCACTGAGCTACACCCCCAATCCTGTCTGAACTTCTGTAATGAGCACATAATTTATGTACTTTGTAGTATTTTCACTAAGGTCTTAAATAATAATACTAATAATATAATAATAACAACAACAATGCTATCTATCTCGAAGGGATGTTGTGACATTCAAATGAAAATATGAGAAAGCACACAGTACAGTGTATGAACTCTTTTTAGGTAGAGGGATGGATGAGTGGATAGACAGACAGACAGACAGATGGTCAGTCAGACAATGTTACCTTCCTCTCACCACTCAACTCCCATATCCTCTTTACTCCCCAACCCCTACCCTTCAGGTTCCCACATTCCAAAGTGACAAAGCGCAGAGGCCAAGAGACCTCCCTTGAGAGGAAAAGCCATGACCTACCTCAGTGACAAACAGCGTACGAGGGTCGATGATATCCAGGAAGTGCCTGAAGCGCCCATAAAAGGATGTCTGGAAAAAGAGGTGGGAAAAGGGGAGATCAGCTGTTGTACACTGTCCTCTGGACACCCGACACGGGGGTCACCCTTATGAATGGGGACCCGCAGGCCCCATGACACCCTGTATCATGGATGAATGCCAATGAGGCCTCATGGCCCAGGAACCTGGGAGCAGCGTTCCCAGGGCTGAGCCCTTCCTAAAGTCGACTCAAAGAGACCACTAAGATACCCAGTACCTGTCCCTATGTCTCTCTCAGGTGCTTCTCACGTTGCTCCTTGTCTTCCATTGTCCTAAGACCTCTTCTGAGCTCTTCAGAAGCCCCCACATATCACTGGGTGGGTGGGCACAGATTACTGAGAGGTTCAGGGCACAGGACGAAGGGTCACCCCCCTACCTCCCTTGCCCGAGAGCAGGGGCCCTGGAAGAGGAGGGCTTTGTGCTAAGCAGGCCACAGGCATTGGAGCACAATGAAAGGAAACCAAGCAACGCTGCTGCTGGGCCTTTTGCCTGGGGACAAAGCCAGCTGGGCAAAGCCAAGCTCAAGGGGAGAAGAGAGAGTGCCAGACTGGGGATCAAGGGGAAGGCTGCAAACGCTGAGGGGTTCATGCCTCACTACACTCCAGGCTCTGCCCCAAATTCCTCCCACAGCCCCACATCTCCGCAAGCACCATCCTCTGCACAGGGGAGGAAACAGAAGCCTCCACACACCCTCCCCTTGCTTATTAGGACAGCAGACCCTGCAGTCAAATTCTGGCCTTGCCTTTCCCCTAAAGATCCTGCAATAGGCCCTAGGTTACCTCTGAGTTCCCACACACAAAACACCTCTCCCACCTTTCTTTCTCTCTCACTCAGGGAGCCACACATGGAGCAGGCTGCCTATCCCCTACTTCCACTCTCCTCCAAGGGGCCAACTACAGATAAAGCCTCAGGACCATTCTCAACTGAAACAGTTGCTTTTCCAACCTCATAGTGCTCAAATGGCTGAAGTTTTGTCCCTAAACCATCCAGTACTTAAGTCATATACATACACAGCACACTCCTGTCTTGGCAAATTTAGTCTAAGGAAACAATCAGAATGTTCAAAGACGAGGTCAGAGATACATTTTAGGGAGGTTCACTGCTGTACTCTTTACAAAGGTGGGTGGCTGGGCTGGAGATATAGCTCAGTGGCACAAGCACCTGCTTGGAAAGCATAAGGTCTCGAGTTCAATTCCAAAAAAAAAAATGGTGGATGCTTAAATAAATGATGGTCCATTCATGTTTTTTGAATACTGTGCAGTCATTTAAAATCACATTTTTCAGACAATAGTTATGACATGGTGATAGGGCAAGAGAAACTCCATTTTCTATTTGTAACTCCATTTTTTTTTCTTTGTCTTTTTGAGACAGGGTCTCATTATGCAGTTCAGACTGTCTTGAGCTCACTTTGTAACCCAGGCTGGTCTCAAACTCACAATGATCCTCCTGCCTCAGCCTCCTGAGTGCTGGGATTACAGGCGTGCGCCACCACACTCGGCTATAACTCCATTTTAAGAGAAGTCACTTAAAGTTCACATAAACTATAGATACACCCCTTCCCCTTGGTTAGTCATAAACCAGAACAGAGTTATAAAATGGGAACAGAACAAACAGGACAAATTGGGAAGTAGGCTAAATGTTAAACCACAACGGTCATCCAGAATCTGGCTGGCTGACAGCTTCAGGGAAAGCTAAACCTTGTTGTAATTGTGCAACATTCTTGTAAAATTCCCAAAAATGCAGTAATAGTTACTATGGAAACCTAAAAATGTACTTAAACCGAAGGTGAGACCCAGATTGGTGCGGACATCCTCTCTGACTCCTGGTTAGAGACCGTCCATCACCCGGCTCTCCAATAATGCTTTGTTCATTCCTGCCTTTTCCATCTCTTGTGAGTGCCTGTCTCGTTGGACTCACTTGCCGTTATCAGTGGAAAAAGGCTTGGTTTTATAAAATGCACATAAGCAATATGATTTCAACTTAATAAGCAAGGAGATAAATAGATGGATACTAACTGAAGAGCAAAAAGACTGGATGACATCTAGATCCTGTACCACTAGGTCCCAGGGTTCCTTAGGAAGTTGCTGATTCCACGGCTGGGGCAGGAAAAGTACAAGATGAAACTGGTTTTTGTTTTCATTTTGTTTTATGCCAGAACGTAATGAAGAACCACCTTTGCCCTAAGGTGAGCGGGATGTGTTCATGGAGCCACTGAGGGGCAGATAGACGCTATGCACCTTGAGATGTCATACCTGAGAAGGTCACAGCATCACCAATATCCCAGAGGGGCTAAATCTAATCACAAGGAAACATCAGACAAACACAATAAAATAACTAGGCTTGCTTATCAAGTATGTCAATGTCACAGAGACAGAGCGAGAGTGGGAAACTGGTCCACAGTAAAGGAAATTAAACAGACAGCTAACTGTGCTGTGTGATTCAGGTCTGGATCCTGGATTAGAGGAGGAAAATGCTTTCAAGGGCATTATTGACACAAGCGACAAAATTGACAGTTAGATCATAGATCCATAAGAAGTATTCATGAATGTTAAATTTCCTGAACTTAGTAACTTCACTGTGGGTATAAAGAGAATGTCCTTGTTCACAGGGAACATTCACTGAAGTAGTGATGGATACATGGATGTAACTACTCTCAAACATCTGAGGGGAAAGAATGTATAAATACACAGGGCAGCCATCAAATTGGAAAATGTATGTACTATTATTTTATTTCTCCACAGAGTGAGGGTGTATTTAATGATATCACATATATTATGTTTCCAGACTTTCTGATCACTGGTAGATAAAGAGGGTAACAAGTACATGTGAAAAATTATTTAAAAACTGGTAGATCTAGGCAAAGGGCATATGGAAGTTTTCTTTATGCCTGCAAGGCAACTTTTCTATAAGACTGAAGGTGTTTCAAAATAAAATATTACAAATCATATTTTTCAAAATGCTAGATAAAAATACATTTAAATGTTAATAGAGATTGCCTCTGGGTAATAGGATTACGGGGGATTTTATTTCTATATATTCTAAACTGCTTTTAAAATGAAAAAAATCAATATTAGATATCATATATAGAAGTAATATTTTATTTTTTTAAAAATATGCAAATTAAACTTCAGGCTGATATGTTAAGTAATGTAGTTAATAATCTCCTGAAGGACCTGAGCTGTTCCACATCCCTTCCTGATCCTTCTCAGCTTCGGTCTCTTTGTTTGTTTCTTTGTTTTTCTGAGACAGGATCTTATTATGTAGCTCAGGCTGGCCTTGAACTCACGATGTAGCCTAACCCAGGTCAGCTTTGAACTCAAGGTGATCCTTCTGCCTCAGCCTGCAAGTGCTGGGATTACAGGCTTACAGGCGTGGGCCACCCACTGGGTCTCTTTACACACCCAGAAAGGGCTCCACAGACAAACCAGCTGTGGAATGAATGAATGGACTGCTAAGCAACCAAAGGCCCCCAGGCTTCCTGAAGCGGGTGGGGCCTGGCCAAGCTTTGAGGGGAAGATAGGATTAGAAAAGGGTAACAGTTTGTTGGTTTGTGGTCCAAGGGAGATGAGGATGAACAAGAGTGGGAATGGGAACCCTCAAGGGGAATTCTAAAAAGGGCTCCAGCAGATACCTCCAACCTCCAGCTTGCCCTGTGGGCTTGATCCTGTCCCAGCCCTGCCAGCCCTCCTGAGTTACTTTCCACCACTGCTACAGTAGTCCCACATAAAGCATTTTGCTCCTCAGACGTCTGCAAACTCCTACTGAGCAAGGCTCTGACTGTTACAGGCAGCTAAAAGATAAAGTATTATAGGCAGTCAGATAGGGCTGGACCCTCAAAGGAGCCAGTGTAGAAGACAAGGTACCATATAACTGTGGGGAAGACAGGCACCTCCACTGTGGGTCAGACCTCAAGACAAAAGATAAAACAAATGCACCCACACAGTTCCTAAGGATAAACATCAGAGACTGATATTCTAAATAAGTATCATCACTTGAGGAAGCCAGGAAGAGCCACTAACGCAACCCACTACAGGAAAAGCCCCTGTTTTGTATTCATGCCCACTTGCTCCGTGCCTCACTTCCGTATTTGATCCCATTTAATCAGTTTTACCTGAACAGTCATACTTGTAATCTTATTGGCTGTGTAGTTTTGTCCCACCTCATGTCCACCTTGCGATTTCCCATTTTTCCCACCTTGGACCTGCCTCACATCATGGATTTGCTCTATAAAAATCCCTAGAAAAGGCAGGGTCCTTGGCAACCCACTGAGGACCCCTTCTGTCTTTCTCTTGGACAGAAGCTTCCTTTCCCCCAATAAATATATTCTGCTCTTAACCTCCATTGTTTCTAAAATTCATTCTTCAATTTTAGAGACCACAAACTCGTACCAGACATCTAGCAGGTTGGAACTTTCCCCTATATCATGACCATCCCGAAAAAGCCTTCTAGGAGCTCAGAGCCATCAAGATAGACAAATAACTGCAAACAAACACTTACAAAACAATACGATCAGTGCTCAAATGAGGCATCACAAAGTGCACTAGGGACACCCGGATCTCTTCCTAGAGTGAGTCACAGTGGCAGAGGAGGAACCAAGAGGTGGCTGAGTGACCCAGCAGAAACGGTGATAAGCAAGTCTGAAGACCTGAAGGCGGCAATCAGAAACTGTACCGGACACTTGGGGTGTCTTCATTCATTCACTATTCTACTAGCAACAAGACCTACTGTGTGTCCAGCACAATGTGAGAGCTCGGGTGAAGAAGGAAGAAACAAGTCATGGATGATGCCTAGATTTCTAGCCCTACACTCATGCTTATTAACCAGGAGAAGGAAAGTAAGGAACACACAATGGACAGGAAGACACTACTGGACATGTACATTTGAGATACATGTAACTTTTCTTTCTTCTTTTTTTTTTTTTTTTTTTTTTTTTTTTGGTACCAGGGATCGAACTTAAGACCGCTTATGCCACTGAGCTGTATCCCCGGCCACAT